GGAGCCTGAGGAGTACACCCGGTACATCCAGGATGTCTTCAAGCAGATCATGCCTGCCATCGAGTTCCACGACGAGATCTTGCAGGGTATCTCTGAGGCCATTGAGAAGATTCCCGTTCTGCCCAAGATTCTTGAGCAGCTTGAGGAGCAACTGTCCAAGTTTGTCTTCTCGGTCATCGCCCCCTTCATTATTCCCGTCATCAACCAGATCCGCAACGAGCTGCGCACTGGTTCCGCTGAGATTATCGAGAGCAGTGAGAAGGAGCAGCACGTCGTCTTTGACGATGACCGTAGCACTGACCCTACCCATTCCATGTTGTCCAAGGACCACTTCACCAACGTAAGGAAAACGTCATTCAATAGGCGAAATTGGCGGCTAACATGTTGATAGATCTTGAACGAGGTTGCTGGCCGCTGTGCTGCCAAGACTCTCCAATGGGTTGTGCCCCAGCTCATGGAGGCCATCGATAACGACAGCGTCGATGTTAACCGCACCTTGAACCGCATTATCTTTGGTGTTCTGCACCACCCTGCACAGCGTGACATGGGAGACGATGGCGCTCGTGAGGGCCGTCAGCAAATCTTCCAGTTCTTCGAGGAGTGGTGGAGCAACATGGACAGAAGCCAGCAGGATGACTACCGCCGCAAGCTGAGTCGCGAGGGTGTTCAGCGCGGTGAGAACCACAAAGAGGGTGTCCACGACACTGGACACGGCCACGGCTGCAGCGGAAAGCTCCACATGCGCAAGCAGTTCGGCGAGCCCAAGAACTGGGAAGACAAGGTTGCCGACCAAGCTGCCGGCGCCATTCTCGAAGGTGCTTCCGGTGCCATCGCAAACCTTGTTGGTCAGCAGACTGGGGTCAAGGTCCCCAAGTACAAGCACCAGCAAGAGGAGGAGGAGAGCGGTGGTGGCGGCGGTGGCGCTGGTGGTCTTATTGGATCCATTCTCGGAGGTGTCTTCAAGAAGGACGAAACGGAGACACAGCACAGCAGCCGCCGTGACGACGATGGTGGCTACACCCAGACTACGACCGAGTACGGCCGCCACGGAAACAAGTATGGTCAGGCCGAGTACAGCGAGACCCAGTACCCCGGTGGCGGCAGCCGTACCGAGTACCGCAAGTATGAGCAGGAAGACAGCTCTGGCGGACGCCGAACCAGCGGCCGCGAGTACGAGGAAACCACGGAGACCCGTCCCTCTTACGGTGGTGGCTATGAGCAGCGCACCGAGACTCACCGTTACGAAGGTAACACCCAGTCTGGCTTCAGTGGTGGCCGACGTGACGAGAACGACGGCTATGGCGGCCGTCGTCAAGAGGAGAGCAACTACGGTGGTGGCGGCGGCTATGGCGGCGGTAGACGCGATGATAACGAGGGCGGCTACGGCGGTGGCCGTCGCCACGAGGAGAGCAGCTACGGTCGCCAAGAGGAGAGTTATGGTGGTGGTGGACGTCGTCATGACGAGGGTGGCTATGGTGGTGGCGGTGGTGGTTACGGAGGTGGCCGCCGCGAAGATGAGGGAGGCTTCGGGGGTGGCTATGGCGGTGGACGCCAAGAGGAGAGCTATGGCGGTGGACGTCGTCACGACGAGGGCGGATATGGTGGCGGCGGCGGTGGTGGTTACGGGGGTGGCCGCCGCGAAGACGAGGGCGGCTACGGCGGCGGTAGACGCGACGATAACGAGGGTGGCGGCTATGGGCGCCAGGAGGAGCACCACGGTCGTCGCCGTGACGATGACGATGAGCGCCGCGAGGGCGGCGGCGGCGGCTTCGGCGACTTCATCGGCAAGGTCGCTGAGCAGTTTGGCGACAACAACAACAATAACCGCAGATGGTAGGACCGCTGCGGCTGTTTCTCTTGATTCTTGGCAAAGATTGCTGCCCGGTTGTATTCTGGCAGATGATGACGACTGGCTCATGAACAGGGGTAGCTTTGGGGTTTAAGCTACGGATACAGGCATAACGAAGAACAATAACAAAAAGTCTTGCTTCTAACTGTGAGTCCAGATGTTTTGTGCGTGTCATGTGATTTGAGGGGTACAGGATGAGGATCACAATGTGTTGGTAACATTTAAACACGTAAACGAATTGCCGGTTCCGGGCATCAGTCTTCTACTATCGTTGACAGCTCGGGTGATGGTCGGTTTGGAAGTCAACCATTGATCACGGCTATCAAGTGCCGTGACTTTACTCCCACGCGCCAACTAAGAAACGGGACAGTTGAGCCGAACTGATTGATCCCTTACCACATGGAGAAGGGAGGACATGGCAGAGACGTTCCGAATGTGACTCTGTTTCGTTCTAACCCCCCCTGCCTAGTGTCCAGATGGAGGGCACGGCAGCCATCGCCAGCGAACGGGTTTTGCGGGGAAGAGTCGTAGTCAACCTGGTCTAGAGCCGGGACGTGTGGCCGCGATGCCGAAGCATTCGGTACGGTTGAATTCTTTTTTTTTTCTCTCGCCAAGTTGCTTACCGAGTAGGTGGTGAGAATGGGAGATTCTAGGTTATGGATTTGATGAAGGTGATTTGACGATACACAAAAAAAAAACAGTAAGATCCTAGTGAGAGGTTTATTCCATGTCTTGGCCTGGTGGTTTTTTTCGTTTCTGGTAAATTGATCCAGACCTGTTTTAACCCGCCTGGTCAACTGTATGCAACATTAGAGAGGGTAAACGATGGGGGATCATCGTTGTTCTTTTGGTACGGTTAAATTTGGGTAAATGTTCGTTTTTACCTTGAATCCCGCTCTTTTCTTTTACTTTGACACCTGATAGTAAGGTACCATCTGAACGAGAGAGGAAAAAGCGGAGGGGAAAAAAAGAGAAGGATTGGGATCTTTAACAAGGTGACGAACGGAGCGGCGGCGAGCTCTCCTTTTTTTGGTGTTGTATATATTGACCCTGCTCGTTTCCCCGTCATTAGCCATAGGATCGTAGCTATTTTGTATTATACGATGTACAATATATGATACACAAACTCATTACTGTTCCTCGAGTTTCTTCAAGAGTATCGCGTTCAACCCGTATATAATACTCGCCGTCACGCCCACGAGAGTCCAACTGAACTCGGGCTCCTCGTCACACATCTCACCGCGTACCACAGAGAAACTATCTACGTCCCTTGAATCATCAATATCCGAACTCATCTCTCCAAAGATGCACCTCACACACCCCCTGACCCTCCTCCTACTCCCTATCCTCCTCTCCCACCAAGTACAAGCCCAATCCACATCCACAGGCTCAACAACCCGCTACTGGGACTGCTGCAAACCCTCCTGCGCCTGGCCCGGCAAGATCCCCGCCTCCTCCCTCGCCGCCGGCCCCGTAACGACCTGCGACCGCAACGACAACCCCCTCTCGGACGGCGGCGCCACGCGCAGCGGGTGCGACTCGGGCGGCGGAGCCTACATGTGCAGCGCCCAGTCCCCCTGGGCCGTCTCGGACGACCTGGCCTACGGCTTCGCCGCCGTGCGCATCTCGGGCGGGACGGAGGCGCAGTGGTGCTGCGCGTGCTACGAGCTGACCTTCACGAGCGGCGCGGTGGCGGGGAAGAGGATGGTCGTGCAGGCTACGAATACGGGGGGGGATTTGGGGCAGAATCATTTTGATATCGCGGTGAGTTTTCGTTTATTCTTTCTCCGTTTTGGACTTTTTCTTTTGGTACCCAGCCTTCGGCCTGTTCCATCTCGGAGACTACAAGATATGCCGGAAACTGTCGGAGATGCAAGAGGAGACAAGAGGATGTTGTTGATGCTTCCTTGCTGGGTGGCTATTTACACCACGAAAACCAACTTACAGGAGGGACACAACATGTTGAGGACGAGCCCCTTCATACGATACAGGGATACAAGAACTGCCTGTCCCCGAAGCACAGAGTGCTGTACAAAGACGAGAAGTATACTGACGTTATTGCTTCGACAGATCCCCGGCGGCGGCGTGGGCCAATTCAACGCCTGCACGGATCAGTACGGAGCGCCGGCCAACGGGTGGGGCCAGCGGTACGGCGGCGTCAGCTCCCGCGCCGAGTGCGACGGGTTCCCCGCGAAGCTCAAGGCCGGGTGCTACTGGCGCTTCGACTGGTTCAAGGGCGCCGACAACCCGAGCGTCTCCTTCCGCCAGGTGACTTGTCCGGCGGAGATTACCAATAAGAGCGGCTGTAGGCGCCAGTGATGGAGCGGGGAAAGTAATTCGCTGCCCGGGACTTGGAAATGTTCAAGTTCAAGTTCCAGCGCTGATGTTGACTCCGATCTGCTCCGCGAGTTCGGAGCCCACACTGAATCGACCGTCGAGGCTGGAGCACGTATAGTTACTCTACGTCCGTAGCTGCAAGTCAAATATGCCATCTGGAATTAAAGGCCAAGAGATGTTCCTGGGCGACCTGGGGCTCGAACACATCGGCAAGCCTTCTTACCTCGTAGCCTCGCACGCAGGATTTGGTGCCAATGTTGACTGAGAGAGCCTTCGTAGCGAGCTTACAGAGTCATCAAATGAGTCCACGAAAGGGGTGAAATTAGCCCATCTAAGACGCCCATCTCACATTGGTGGTGGCGACGCATGAACACAAGCGAGCAGATTGGCCCCTTCCGCCGTTGATCTTTCGTAGCGCGGCCAAACAGACGTATGGATCTCGCAACACAATTGAAACATACTTCCTCTAACCATTTTGTTCCCTCCTGAAATGAGCGCTGTCAATGTTGGCTGTGCTCCGTGGCTGTGTGCTGGGCAGGTAACAGGCACCGTCCTGCCTGATTTTTTTGAGGCCATGGCATTGCGGATTACAAGAAGCCAAGCCAGAGCCAAGATATTCACCTGAGGATTAAATCTTGCCCAAGAATCCTCAGCAATCTTGACACAGCCACAAAAAGGCGAACACCTGCCATATCGTGGAATCCGCCAACGTTGTGCAAAAGACGCGCGGTCAAAAGTAGGGTTCAGTGGCAGCCCGTCAAAAGATTCCTCTGGCGTTGCCATTGTTCTCGGGCGTATCAATGTCGCAGCCAGCCTAGATGCTTTGACGAATCACACGACGGACTAGTACGTGACGTAGAGGGTCTATCGGCTTCTTTTGCCGGTTGAGACAACAGAACGGCGCCAGACCGCCGCGGCCGGGAGCCTCCAGATTGCCGAGAGCGGCGTTGGGGAACCAAGAGCGGCTGTCCGGCATCTTCGGCTGGCATGGAAGGAGTCAGGGTGATTGTTGAAGAACTAATTATTCAGATTGGTGAAGCACGCAACATTCCGGACGAGACCAGACCAGTTTCGCCGGAAAATGTGTTCTCTACTGGCAAGGGTAGAGCAGTAAAATTGCCAACCGTAGGTGTGGGAGATGGCCCCTGTCCCCGGTGGATCTGACCCAGGGAGCAGCCAATGTTTCAATGACGTCTGTCTGGGCACCCGCGTTTGTGAGGGGAACCTAGCATTGGTACTCTTCATGTACCTTTGCTTCAGGGAGCCTAAGTCCGGACGCCGGTGGAAGTTTGCAGAGTAGCATCGCAAAGAGTAGTGGGAAAGCCAGAAAACCAAATGGTATGCTGGGTGATTCCGAATTGATCAGGGGTGTTGAATGCAGACATGGTGTCTCTGAGAGGCTCGTTGCCATCTGAAGGGATAGCGAACCTGATAAGGTATGAAGTCGGGATGCCAAGAACGGGCGGAGGTCGAGTCATCGGGACTAGAAGGGAAGGGTCCGGTGGCTAGAAGCTTTTCCCGCTGATTGACTTGCAGCGGGAGAGACATCGTAGGATCCCGAGTGCTGTTGTTGGTGCCGGCCAGTACCATCCCGATTTGGTACAGCGAAAGGCACTGGCCCTTGTGGAGGACAGCAGCACGCAGGCCACGCAATGTGCGCTTCCCATGGTCGAGCGCCAAGTGGGCGGTCTGAGAGTACACGTCCAGGCTAATGGCGGCCATATGCAGTCGAGCGTCTTGCAGCGGTGCTGTTTGGTAAAGGCGTCGACTTGAGCCGCAGACCACCAATTTGGTTGGCGTCGTACTACGCGCCCAAATGGTACGATCTTACGCTGTGCCTTGGAGCAATGATGCGAAGCCGCCCATGTTTTTTCCTCTAGAAGCAAAAACCCTGTTAACTCCGTGGCGCTGAGAAGAATATTTCCCGAGACGCCAATTGCGCATTGTTGATATTGAGTGAAGCGCTATACATGTATAACGACCGTCGATCGTATAGTAGACAGCCACGCGAAAGGTGCCGTCAGACCGGGAGACCCGAGAGAGTGAATGCCGAGAACGACCGGGCGGGCGTGGTCGAGCTGTCACGCACATCGGCTGGTGCAAAACGTCTGGAACTGTCGGCACAACTTGCCCATGACTGTAGACCGGGCCCGTGTGGTGGGAGAAACTCAAAATCCCAAGTGGAAAAGGGGAGGTGTGAGAGACTTCGATGCGACGAAGCTAAGAGGAAAATCTCGACCGTCGAGGACTGGTCGTAATCAGATCGGGCATCGTATCACGGGTACCGTCGTTACGGACGATGGACCAGAGAAGACTCGACAACTCTGTTGGTCAGCCTGCACGGAGAGATGCTGGCGTCCGTATCCGAAGGCGGCAGCGGCAAGGCCCAGAGCAGTTGGTGACCCTTTTGATTTTCCATCTCTCTCTTCCACGCTAAGACATGCGGTACGTGGACGGTAGTAGCCTGCTATTTTAGCGGGAGGGAATCAGAAGGGGGCCACGACTCGTTCCCCGGATGAGAAAGACTAGGAAGACCATTCTCCTGAGGCTATCAATGTGGAACGGGCCCATCATGTCAGCCTATGAGGTTTCATAGCTAGTGAGAGAAAGGCAGAAGGCAAGCGGGTGCCATAGTGATTTGAGCCGATCTGGCGAGGGTGGGAAGCGGGAGCCGGCACGGGGGAACTGGGTAGGTCGTTGGAAGATCAGACAAGCTTTCGAGGGAATCGAGGCAACGAAAAAGCTTAGCCATGATGACATGCGATGCGATGGGCGTCGGGCGAGGGATTGGGCTGGGGATGCCGTGTATCCGTGGGCGTGTGATGTGCAGGCTAAGACGGCACGGCGGGGGACATGTAATGAGACTGTTTTACTTTTTCCTTTGATTGTTTGTGGCATGCGGTGACCGACACCAACGGCAAGAGCGGCACCAAAATGATTGATTTGCAGATGGAAACGGCTGTGGTTTGTCCATTTTCTTTCTGTATGTGTATCAACGTCGACTTTCGAGTGCTAGTGTAGTCGCGCGAGCAAATGCAGGGCTGCAGGTACAGGGTCTTTGGGGTCATTTGGGGCCAATTATAGTATAGACAATAGCCGCTTTGGTGGTTGAAAATGTTGTTGGTTTTATCTGCCCGCCGGCATCCCGTAATAGTTGTGTGGGAGTTTGTGGTCACTGGTGGTTGTGTCGTGATAAGAGCTCGGTTCTTCGGCTCCTCGAATGCGCTGGGATGATGCAGTTGGAGTTGGTGCATGCCGGGCCTCGATACACTTCACGCGCAATGGATTAAATCCATGTTGTGCGGGGCGTTTGGCTGAGGTAAGCAGCTCCCGTGAGCAGTCACAGGAACGGGAAGCTAGGAATGATCTGTGAATGTCCAAATCCAGGTGCTTTGCTGATGGCAGGGTAGACGAAAGGGTCCTTGGGTTCCGTCTGGAGACATAGACAGAGTGAGAGTCAGAGTCAGAAGGGAAGGAGCACACAGCAGCAATTGGAACTGTGGTAGTGCCTTTCATCCATTTCTTAGGTAAGGTGTGTGTGTGTGTCAGGAAGGTAGTGGATGTACATCGGCAGGTACTCGCCGGTACATGTCTTCTCTCCCGTTTCCCTTGCTTCCGAGTGGTCCGCCGTGTTTCTCTTGCCTCGTCCAGCTGGGGATGTTGTACCCTACAGTTGTGCTCGCTCTGGAGCGTGAGTTGTGAGGTGTGGTTGACGGCCTCCTGAGTCCTGACTGGCTACCGGGGGAACTTTCAACAGTCTCCGTCGCGATCCACTCCACCATCTCTGCCAGCCTATCCGTACGGTGCCGTACTTGCGAACCAACTGGCTGCATCTTTGCGTCCAATTCCATCCGCGCATCATGAGAGTCCCCCGACTGTCTTGAATCTGTTACCGCACTTGCACCGCATTCAACCTGGAACGCTCCTCCAGTCGACTGGTGTCCACAATCTGCTGTTCATGTTACTGATTGGCACTCGAATCCACTCCTCACAGGTCGTTGTCAAGTGCATCATGTAACGTCCATTTATCGTTAGAATTAACAGAGCAGAAGACAGCCCGCGTATTGAAGGATGCACACCGTAGACGCCAGCCGGAACGCCAGCGGTAACGACTAGGCAGGTAACTCACTAACGGTGTGCGGTGGCCACAGGCAATGGAAGACGAAGCAGCTTAACAGCCAACGAAAGGTACATCGAGAGTACCTGCTCTTCCTTCTCTGGGACAGGCGGGTAGCGACAACGAGGACGAGGACGAGGACGAGGACGGAGACAAGTGCAAGTGCAAGTGCAAGTGCAAGTGCGAGGACAGGGCAGGGAGGCTGTGCATCAGTTCCCTCGCCCCTACTTTACATACAATGCCCGGCCAGATCAGGTATGCGCAAAGTACCTTGGGACTTGCTTCTTGGTGTCCGACACTGCACTCTTCTGGTGATCCGATACCTCCAATTTGGCTATGGATACTTCTCCCGTCCTCGTCATTCTTGTATGGAGTACTTCGGACCTCTCCTGCCCCATGCTCCAGCCATTTGGTCCTCAGTCTGTCTGCCCGGTCGTTCAAAGTCATCCAACATGCCACCCGGCCACCACCCTTCTCTCTCTCCCAAAACTCCCCCAACACCACCACCACACACACACTCTCTTCACAGTACACACCCGATTCCCACACCCAACTCTCTCACCCCCCGACCTGGAACCCGAACCTGGACCTGGACCTGGACCTGACCTTGCTTTCCCTTTGACCTGATCAGTGTGTACGAATACAGAGCGCACCTGCAGCAAGCGCACTGGGAACGACCTGACCTGAACCCCGCTTGGCATTGAAAATCGCGCCTGCCCCAGCTCGCTGACCTCCCATTCAATCGCTTCTCTCTCAGCTCGCCTTTTGGTCACCTTCTGCTTGCCATTTCACCAATCTCATCCCTTTCGCCTCGCATCGCGACTCGACCTTGTCCTCGAGCATTCACATTGTAGCCTCCGCCTTGAATCGACTCACTACGCACTATTACTTCCAGTTCGTCGTCTTCAGACCGAGTCAGCCTTGAATCTCTTAACCAAATTTCCGACGACACCGATTTCCCGGGCATTTCCGCCTCGCTCGTTTGTTGGTTATCCCACCTGAAAGCTGGTGTTCGTTCCACTTCCCGAGCAGCCACCCACGATTTATTCACACCAGGTTGATGGTTTCAATGCCCTCAACCCGTTCGTTGAACATGTGAGGGAAGCATGTGTAAGTCATTATATGCCCTTCTCATTTTCTGTACAATACATAAATCAGAAAATCATGCCTCTGGTCATCTTGCCCGTAGTAAGCAGGTGAACGCCTGCCGTGCTCTCTCTCTCTCTCTCTCTCTCTTTTGCGGCGGCCAAGAGGTGCCAAAATCCCCCGGTCTTGGCACAACTCACTGACGTCTCACAGCTCTCGAACAGATTCGAAATGTCGTGTATGTCTCAGCAAAACTCCTTTCAGATGCCCGCTGCTTTCGATGCTATCGTCCCCGTATTCCTCATTGCTGCGCACGCTTCTCTGCTGCTTTCCCGTTGACTCCTTTACCATCTCGTCGCATCACGTTGCTGCTGCCTTGGCCCGCGTCACTGTGCCTCGCAGCACCTCTGTGGGCAGACCTTGGCGCGAATGCCTCACCACCCGCATTTCCCCAACCACTTGCGTATCTTTAACCACCAGCTGACCTTTACACAGTCTGCTGTTCAGTAACCCTGTTTGGTCGGGCGCAAACACCGTCCCCTCGACTCTCATCAAGAACATCACCTCTCTGTCGGTATGTCTCGTCGCCATCAAACTTATCCTAAGTCTTGATCTAAACCAAGTGCACAGAGCAAGGTAGCCTACCAGGACACCATCACAGCAAACCTCACCACGCTGAGCACGACAAACACCGAAACGCAGGATGGCATCATCCGAGGTCTGCTATACGTCCCCGATCTCAGCGTCACAAACCCGTGTTTCGAGCAGCAGTACGACATAATCCCACGAAATGCCACTACACAGGCAGAGCTTCCTCCTACCAACTATAACCTAATTGCCATTGCGCCATGGTTTAATGCGACCTGCACCAAGGCCTATCTTGCATCCGCACGCCTCGACCCCATACGCGCCTTCATCTTTTACCGGCCCAATAATTCGACGAACGAACCACAGGGCGCTGATTCCCCGATATGGGATCTTGAAGATGGTGATGCATGGCGAACCCAAAACCGTTTTCCGATTTTCGCCGTGCCAGGCGCCGAGGGCACCAAATTCATGAAGCAGCTTAGCCTGTATTCTGGGAACATCTCCGAGATCCCATACGGGGAGGAAATCCAGGAGATCTACGACCCCCACGATAATGATTACGTCCGCATATGGACAGAGCTAACCATCAAGGACCGTGACAGTGTTCCTGCCATGTGGACATGGATTCTCACTGTGGTTGGCGTTGTGATATTTATCATCGCGTGTCTATCACTCACGATGCACCTAGTACAAAGAAGACGAAGAATTTCACTACGAAGAAGGGTGCTGAGCGGCGAGGTTGATCTGGAAGCGATGGGAATCAAACGAGTAACCGTGCCCGTGGATCACGTCAAGGGCTTTCCACTTTTCACCTACAGTTTTCAGCCGGAAATGATCAGCACACCTTCTACTACAAGGCCACCCAAATCCGTGAGGTCACCGCGAAGCATGCGGACTGACCAGCGAACAATATCCGAATCCGCCGTTCCAAGATCAAGGGCCCGAAGAGCAAGCGTCAACAGCTCAAAAAGCACAGTTGCCACGAACTATCAGCCGCAGTGCCACATTTGCTTGGAGAATTACGTCGATCGGGACTCCGTCATCCGCGAACTGCCTTGCGGCCACATCTTTCACCCCGAGTGTATAGACGAGTTTCTCAGTCTGAACAGCTCACTATGCCCAATCTGTAAGAGGAATATGCTCCCACCGAACTACTGTCCCAAGATTACCAATGGCATGGTACGCCGTGAGAGGGCCATTCGACGATTGAGGGAACGGGTAGTTTTTGACGAGTCAGACGACGAAGAGGGGGAGGTGAAAAGCAAGCGTTGGGGCAAGCGGCTATTCGGCACGGACAAAGCGGCATCATCCCCGACAGAAACGCCCTTGACACCCGTTCTGACATCCAAGTCCCCGAAAACAGTGCAGGAGTCAGCAAATGTCGATACGTCGGTGGATCTCGAAGCTGCACCCCTGTCCACTACACAACGTGCCCTCGAACCGACCCAAGAGGAGCAAGAAGATTCGGACCAACCCTCAAGTCAATCCGAAGCTCAAGACCCGCCACATCCGCAACCTCAGCCGCCCAGACAAGCCGCTGCAGCTCCGGCTACTCATCAGAATAAACGTCGGAAAGCAGGTGGATTGCGGCTCCATATGCCTGGATCAGAGTCACATCAGAACCATCCACGTCCTGAAGGACGCAAGAGCCCGTCTCAGTTGGCAAGAGCGCGAATGAGAGCGCTTGCTGGTACACCCTTTGACGACCCAGATGGTCGCAATCCAGCGTGTAAGTACAAAGTCCTTGCGACATCAAGCATATGTTCTGACCTCGGTTGCAGGGAAACGTTATGTCGTCAAGGTTTTCCCAGGATTTTCATGACAGTTGCATGCACTGGAAGCATGTCATCAAATTCGGAGTTGCATGGTGCAATGGCGTTTAGGATCAGGCAGTAGGACTGCCTTTTGGAACTTTTGAGAGGCAAGCAAGGGAATATCACGATGCATATCTACGACACTCCCTGGTACCTACCTCCGAGGGGGGTGGTGAGGAGACTTTTATTTCACAATCACGACGATAGACTCGGTGGGCTCAGATTGGCCCTCGGATTGCTACATTTTAGCACGGAACGTTACTCTTGGGCTGCTGTAAAGAGCCCAAGCTTTTGGACAGGATATACCCCATCGGCTCGGTTAAGCATCAACGGCGATTTGGAGGAGGGTATGAATTGAAAAAGTTACGTAGAAATCAGTGACGGCAGCTGTGCACTGCTCAGACTAGGCAGTCTTGTGTCGGCCAGACAGCGGGCAATGAAATCAAAACTTGAGACCCCTCACGGTCTAAAAAGATAAATTTGCTGAATTATATACCCTGTGATTTCCCTTCAAAGCCAGATCCCGTTCAGGCCAGTCTTTTGCGTGTGTAAAGCCAGGACAAAACCATACATAATACACTGAGTCTAACAAGAGGTATACAAATCGGACTCATTGCTATTCAGTATGTCTTATAAAAAAAAACAAGACTTCTCCACACGTGGTATTTTCGCTATTGTCGTTTCATCCGAATCATTGTATATGCCAGCTTTCATCTGATTTGTTTCGCCAAGCCGGGCCAACTGATCGTCTTAAGCACGTTCAGTTATGCATTATAAACACCGAAATCTTAACTTTCATCCACTCGTCATGTCTTGGCAGTTCCATCTGTTACCGTGTTTCCTCCTACATTCTCTGCCCTCTGTCATTATGAACGTCCCTCAATGAGCTTGTCGTCCTCTTTTGTGCCTCCTCTAGCCAGTGCTTCGCGGATACGGTCATTTTCGGCGGCGCGGATCCGCTGACGAGCATCCTCAAGTCGTTCGACTCCACGATCGATAGTCTCAATGTGAACTGTCAACGGGATTGCTATGGTCGAATCACGCACGAGTTCGGGAGCGGCAACGCGGTCGCGGAGGTCGCCCAGCCCGGCCTGGATCTTTTCAAGGTCCACAATAAGGGCCGATATCTGCGCAACAGCCGTGACGCGCTGCCTATCCACCTGGCGCAGGAGGGAGAGCTGGGCATTGAGGTTATGCAGGCGTTTGTTATTCGCACCGACAAGAGTCCACAACGTCCAGAGAACCTCGTCGCGACGGGATTTGACCGAGTTCGACGAGCGAGTGACGATTTCGTAAATCTGGTTCAGGTTCTCCTCCGCCTTCGTGAGTAGAAGCAGAACTCCTTGCGCTTCTACTATGAGAGAGGAGATCCGGTCAGAGACGAGGGCGGTATGCTCGATGTATTTGTCGAGAAGGGTCCGTTCGGAGAAGGGTGTCACTGTTGGAGTAAAGGGGTAGAAGAGCCAGCTGGACCACTGGGAAACCAGTCCTACATCTGTTGTCTCTGATGCAGAGAGGGTATCAAGATAGCGAGATGTCCAACGGTTGATCGAGATAACAGAGTCGACGGCAGATCCCACATGAACGTTGAACTTTTGCAAGTCAGAGGCCGTCAAGCGGGCGGTATCGATGTACTCGTTGAACTCGTACACCAGCTCGTCTCTCTGTGGCAATTCCGAGTATCGAACCATGGTGCGTAGATCGCGTATCGAAGACTCGGAACGCTTCATCTCCATTGGTAGTGATACGCCATCGGCACTGCGTTCGAGGACTTGCTCGAATTGTGACTGAACGTTCATGAGGTCGTCAAACTCAACGTTGGCAGACTCAGACCCTGACTCTTTGCCTCCGCCTGGTGAAGTAGTGAACGAGGGGCAAAACGGGAGATCTAAGTATGCTGCGCCCGGGATGCGGCAGAGCGGCGAGAGCGATGTTGTGATTGACTTGGTGACCATATTTTGAAGCATTATGGAGGCGCCAAAGAAGAGCCAGACTGCCAGACATAGCGCTAGTGGCTTTTGGATATAGCCAAGGGCCATGCCAATGACGTTGAATACCCATGCTAGGATGTTGAAGGCCGCACTTGGAAGAGACTCTGACAAGCGCTCCGTAACGGTCTGGGGCTCAGCCGGTTCATCGTAGTAACCCCTCACTCTTCTGGGATCGCCACGTCTGGCAGATGTAGGGCTTCCATTGCTGGCTTGACGTATCGCACGACGTCGCACGTCCTGCTGCTGATAAGAGACGTCGCTGGGGCGGATGGTCCGCGAGGAGTGACCGCTACTGTGTTGGGGGCTGGTTCCCGTCCCTGAAGTAGAACTGAAACGCATGGATGGCATGATAAATTCCGGTTCGGGAGAGCGGTTTGGATCTCGTCGTACGGTGGGTTGAAATGGCGAGCGAAGGATGACTCGCTCATCGTCTGCTTTGTTCATGAAATCTTGAACGCTGTGGTGCGACTCTTGAGAGCCGCCGATGCTGAATGACTGTGACGGCATTTGCGACGGCTCCGTCAGGAAGCTATCATCCTCCTCCATATCGTTAAGAATGGACGTATCGAAGCTGTCATTCTCGCCGCCTTCCACCAAGCGCCAAGAACTCTCGACGGGTAGGTCTTGTTGACGATGTGCAGGCATCGTGCCTAATGATATTGGTGAAGCCTCGAGGCTGTGGCTGAGAAGGTCGTTTTCTGAGTCTCAACCAGACGAGCAAGAGTACTGTGGCGTGTCAAGAGATGGTGTTCCATCCATGGGCAAGTCAATTATTTACTATTGGATTTTGGAGTATAGTTGATCTCGCGACGCGCCGAGCGCGTAGAGTGGCGAAGTTGACCGCAAGGGTCGGGAGGTCGTAGCTGCCTTGATATAAGGCACAATGTTTATGATTCCGGATATTATGTCCGTACTAGTGACTCATTCGACGGGAGCTAGTAACAGAAACGGGTGCAACGGTTGGTGGCCAAGAATAGGCAGAGACAAAGGACGGTCAAGGCTTGTTGATGTTTAGAGAAGGTTTACAGACGTCCTAAACACATCAACATCTGGCGTCATAGGCTCCAGCATCTGCCCCTTGCATGCGCAGCAGCTGTCGTGGGGGACAGCTTCAGGTGGGTAGCTTCTCCGCTGAATCCGCTGAAATGGCAGCAGCAGGGACCATGTGGCAGCGTGACTCGACATTTGATAAGCTTCGCTTCCCCTTGTCGTCACATGGACGTCCAACGATAAGACGTGCGGGAAGGGGTGCAGCACGGTAACACCCCACGCCTCTCTTGCCAGAACGGATCCCGGTGAAACATAATACCGCTGATCCGGGGGAAAGTACCTTATGACGGGTGGAAGGGACGGGACCGGGCTGCACACACGACAGTGAGGTGGATACTAAGGCTTTGCCCCACTTGGCTCCGGCGCGATTCCACCACCCACTTGAGGAAAATGGCCATTACCTCTACCTAGCCTCGCCTTCTTTCAACGCCCGTACAACTCCTTAACATCTACAAATCGAGAATCGCGTTGCGCGCGCCGGAAAATCACTCATCGCAATTCACTTGCGCACAAATTGCCCACGATGTCGACTGGCATGGATCAACGCGAGCTTGAGTCCTGCATCAAGCAGCTCAATAAGGTTGTACAGGCCAACGAGCCTCCTGCAACCGCTCTTGCTCTCCTTGAACGACTCAAGAAGGAGGCTGCCCCCACGGAAGAGATGCTTCGGGTACGTCGCGGATTGCACTGTTCCATCGACATGCGTGGTCTTGGCATATGTTCCTGCTCACCTTGTTTGCTATTAAGACGAATCGTAGCTGACCTCGTTTGTACTCGACCAGTCTAGCAGAGCAGGTGTCTTCGTCGGCAAGCTTCGCCAGAACTCGAACAAGGAAATTGCTCGCGCCGCTACCGAGCTCGTCCATAAGTGGAAGAAGCTGGTCGAAGCCGAGAAGCAGGGCAAGATCAAGAAGGGATCGTCTCCGGCTGCTCCGTCGCCGACCCAGGCCCCGGCCCCGAAACCGTCTTCGTCATCTGCGCTGAACCAACCCTTCAAGGGCAACACCGAGACTCGCCGCGCTAAGGCCGATGGCGCCGACGTGAAGCGCACTAATGATGCTGTTCGCGATTCCTGCATCGAACTCCTCTACAATGGCCTCGCATACCGATCCACCGCTTCCGTCAACGATGTTCTTAACAAGGCCATCGAGGTTGAGTTGGCTGCCCACAGCCATTTCAAGGGTGTCACCAAGGAGTACCGTGAGAAGCTGCGCTCCCTGTTCAGCAACCTTAAAGTCAAGAGCAACCGCCAGCTTGGTGTCAATGTTATGGAAGGCAAGATCACTCCTGCTCGGTTCGTGGTCATGACCCACGAGGAGCTCAAGTCGGAAGAGCAGAGGAAGAAGGAGGATGCTCTGCAGCAGGAGAACATGAAGAAGGCCCAGGTTCCCATGGCCGAGAAGAGTATCAGCGATGCTCTCAAGTGCGGCAAGTGTGGCCAGAAGAAAGTCAGCTACAGCCAGGCGCAGACTCGCAGTGCTGATGAACCGATGACGACATTCTGCGAGTGCACCGTATGCGGTAACCGCTGGAAGGTTTGTTGGCCATTGTTTCATTCTCTTTACCAACTATGCTAACTAAGCTTCAGTTCTCTTGAGCGTACGATTCTGGAGAGGAGGTTTCGATTTTTTCAACTGACGGCGTGATTTTCACTTATACCCCGTTATTGAAGCACGGGATTATGGTCCTGCATTTGGCACTCGGGAGTGCGGGCTTGGTTGGTATGGAGTTGGGGAAGAGGAATGGTCCTCCGTATTTTCTCCTTTATTGATTCTTTTTGCTCTGCCCTTGAACATAAAAAGCTTCGGGCATCAGATGCATGTGTGGCTATCGATGATCGGTTTCACAGAGAGCGAATTACACTTTAGATGGGGGGCTTGATGAGTCCATAGCCATGTAGCCTGTATTGAGTTGAGGCTCGGGAGCAATCGAGATCCTGCAAAGTGCCTAATTGGCATTGGCTCACTACCTTATTACATCGCCCCGGCTCCTTACCGCATTCACTTGGAGCACACTCTATCTCATGACATCGTGGCACCCCATTGTGTGCTTTCCCATGCAATATTCCCTTGTCGCCGCTGCTGAGGGATACATTGGGGGGGAAGGGGGGTTTCAGAAGAAGACTTTCTGCAGTGGGCATTGCAACAACTGAGTGTTCATCTCGTATGTATGGTGAAAGATCTTCAGCCATTGGGGACCCGTGCGGGGAATAGCAAAGCAGTATGGAGAGAGAAGTGATCTATTAGTAGTCTGTATCATTACTTCTTCGCCGGGTCGATCTTGAGCACTGAGAACAGATCAGCTGAGTGATCGTCCTCCTCCAGGCCCATCGCCGCCACATGCTTCCAGAACTTGCTGAGATGCCTCGTGCCAGAGTCGCACAAAATAGTGACGACCTGGCTCCCCTCGGGAAGCCTCGAGGCCGCCACGACCGCCGCAACGCAGTTGACCGCGCTGCTGCTGCCGGCGAAAATGCCGTCGTTCTCCACCAGCCACCTCGCCATGCGGCACGCCTGCTCGTCCGTGACCTTGATCGCGTCGTCAATGAGCTCCCTGCCGGCCTCAAAGTTCTCCGTGACGCGGTTGATGCCGATGCCCTCTACGATGGTGTCGACCTGCGTCCGCCGCCGCGTGCCCTCCTTCTCGGTGCTCGAGTACATGACGCCGTGCCGGATCTTGTTGTACAGCCCGCTGCCCTGGGGGTCCGCCAGCACGACCTGTAGGCCCGGCACGTTGGCCTCCTCCTTGAGGTACTTGGCCACGCCCGCGATGGTACCGCCCGTCCCCGCGCCGGCGACAAAGGCGTCCAGCTTCCCGCCGGTCTGGTACACGATCTCCGGGCCCGTGGTGTGCAGGTGCGCCGCAAAGTTGGCCGGGTTCTCAAACTGGTCCGCAAAGTAGCCGACGCTGCCGTCGCCGGCCTTGGCGGCGTGCTCTAGCGCGCGGCGGCGAGCGAGGTTGACAAAGTGCTCCGGCGATGCGATCGGCGCCGGGTCCACGCGCTCAACGGTGGCGCCCAGGTGACGGAGTAGGTCGACCTTTTCCATGGCCATGTCGTTGGGCATGCAAATGTGCGCGCGGTAGCCCCTCGCGCGCGCGAGCGTCGCCAGGGAGATGCCCGTGCTGCCGACGGTGCCCTCGTAGATGGTGTCGCCGCGGCCGGGGACGAGCTGGCCCGCGGCCTCGGCGCCCTCGATCATGGACAGCGCGACGCGGTCCTTGGGCGTGTTGCCGGCAGCGTTCAGGAACTCTGCCTTTGCGAGGATGACGCGCCCCGTGGCCTCGCTGAGAGAGCGGATTTTGATGAGGGGCGTATTGCCGATGGCGCCCGCCACGCCGTCCGCGATCAGCGGCGGGTTCCAGGCGGAACCGCCGAGGGTGGTGAGAAGAGCGGCAGCCGCCGCTTCATCGGCTTCGGATGCAGTCTCGTGGTCTTCGAGTTGCACGGGCGGGCCCCAGAAGAGGCTGCTACGCCGCGAGGGATCCGCGGTGGATGTGTTGTTGCGCGCGCGGCGGTTGCGACGGCGCTGATACCGGCGTTCTAGGTCCGGATAAAAGTCTTTGAAGCCTAGGGTGACGAGGATGCCGGCCGTGAAGGCGAGCGCTAGGGCGGCCGAGCCATAGGCTTTGGGATGGTTACTCAGAGACATGTTGTCTGTGTCATGTGTCGTGCTCCATCGTCCGCGTTACTCTTCCCGCGAGCTCTTGTTGTTGTCGTCGTATATCTCTTGACGAGATGTGGTTGCGGTATCGGAAAACAAAAACATTGACAGGTGCTCGGCGCATGAATTTCAACCATCTTATTCTACAGGGGATTTGCCCGCTAAACTGCAGGTGATGTCATTTTAGCTCTTCTAGACCCCTGCCTTTCAGCCTCAACGGTGCCTCTGTGACCGTCCACCGCGTTGTGCCTCCAGGTTCCTCAGGCGTTGAAACTCCCGTTGGGGCATCCCTTGGCAGGTGGTGGAGCTGAATGGGAACGGGCATGTGCGCTATGGCGGATTAACAGCTGCCCCGTGGTAGAAGGGAGCTCGGGCCATGTTCGAACCTCTCTGCCAAACCGAAGATCCGCGATTTGCAACCATTTTATTGACTTTCCCAAATCGACCCCCATTTCGCCCTGCCGAGTATTCGTTCCGCTCGACGACTATCGAAACCTCTTCTCGGGATGGATTCCCCCGCCGTCACCCGTCTCTTCCGCGAGCTCTTCCGCCGGCCCGCATGCCAACCACGGCGACAATGCACGACTGCCGCCGGCATTCCAGCTTTAAGTCATCATCACCAACGGCCTCGTGTCCAACATAACCACAGCGGCGGCGTGGCAGCTCCAGCATCATCCACCTCCTCCTCAAGAGCTGCCAATGCCTCTGCGGCACCTCAGCAACGGCGACACTACGCCGTCAAGACCACATCCGAGAGACAGGAAAGGACAAACGAGTCAAAATGGCAGCAGCGGACCTCCCTCTTCCCGAGCGACCGCGCCGACGAGTTCGACACCTACCCGACCCTCAACGCCCGCGACCTGGCCGCCCGCTCGACCCGCCCGCGCAAGGCCAAGATGCTCACCCGCGACTTCATCGAGGACAGCCTCTACAACCCGGCCTACGGCTACTTCTCCACCCAGGCCGTCATCTTCTCCCCCGGCCAGCCCTTCGACTTCCCCTCCTTCCGCGACGAGCCGCACTTTTACCGCGAGCTCGGCCGGCGCTACACCGAGTTCGAGGACGACCTCGACGACAAAGAGGGCGTCAACGACGCCCGCCCGCTCTGGCACACGCCCACGGAGCTATTCCGCCCCTACTACGGCGAGGCCATTGCCCGCTACCTCGTCTCAAACTACCGCCTCACGACGTACCCCTACCACGACCTCATCATCTACGAGATGGGCGCCGGCCGCGGCACCCTCATGCTCAACATCCTCGACTACATCCGCGACCTCGACCCCCAGGTCTACGCCCGCACCCAGTACCGCATCATCGAGATCTCACCCGCCCTCGCCTCCCTCCAGCGCCACCACCTCCTCTCCACCGCCGACTCCCGCGGCCACGCCTCCAAGGTCGAAATCATCAACCAGTCCATCTTCTCCTGGTCCGAACGCGTCCCCTCACCCTGCTTCTTCCTCGCCATGGAGGTCTTTGACAACTTCTCTCACGACGTCGTCCGCTACGACCTCGCCACGGAAGAACCCCTCCAGGGCTCCGTCCTCGTCGACGCGGACAACGACCTCTACGAGTTCTACTCACCCGACCTCGACCCCGTCCTCGCCCGCTTCCTCCGCGTCCGCCACGCCGCCACGGGTGGGCGTTACCCCCTCCCCTACCCGGCCAACCGCGTCCTCCGCCACCTCAAGTCGCGCATGCCGCTCATGCCGAACCTCTCGGAGCCCGAGTACATCCCAACCCGCCTCATGCAGTTCTTCGACGTGCTCGAAAAGTACTTCCCCGGCCACCGCCTCGTCACGAGCGACTTCCACTCGCTGCCCGACGCCATACCGGGCCTCAACGCCCCCGTCGTCCAGACCCGATACGAGCGTACGACGGTGCCCGTGACGACGCCTTTGGTACGTTCAACAACCACAACGCACATGATGAATGCCGTTGCTAACATAAAGGTCGCAACAGGTCCACCAAGGCTACTTTGACATCATGTTCCCCACAGACTTCCAAACCATGGAGGCCATGTACCAGGCCATCACGGGCAAGCTTACGAGGCTCATGTCGCATGGTGACTTTATGCAGCGGTGGGCGTTCCTCGAAGACACCCAAACGCGCAGCGGGGAAAACCCTCTGCTGAGCTACTACCAGAACGCAAGTGTGCTGGTAACTGTATAAACAAATGTAGAAAAGAAGAAAAACATATACCCCTTTTAGACTACGGAAAGTTCCGCAACACAGGCAGCACGTAATTCTGCTGTTTCTTAACTTTGTTCAGGTTGTCTTCCTTAATCTTGTTGGAATACATCGAGAGGAACTACAGGCCCATCATGCCAGTGATCGACTCCTTTTCCTACTTTGGACATGCTCGAAATCGCAGCATATCCTGTTTTCGCCCATGCTCCCATCCATCTAGACCCCGTGAAAAGTAAATTGGTTGCCAGACATGTTGCAGCACATCAGCGGGATATCTCTGTCGCTCAAATGTTGAGCTTCTCCTTCAGCCACTTCTCTGCCTCGGCAACAGCCTCGTCCAACTTCTCGGCGTTGGTACCCTGTCCTTGGCGGGTAGGCTCCTTGCCGCCAGACTTGCCTCCGATGACTCCACTGACCTGAGAAGCCCACTGCTCGGCAGTAACGCCTTGTGAGGACAGGTGCTGCATTGCATGTTAGCTTGTACTTCCATACTCGTACGAGGAGGTCAACTTACAGTGCCAACGTAAACGCCGTGGGCAACGGCACCCTCGTTCTTGCTTCCACCAAACAGGTAGACAGAGCGCTCCTTGTCCTTGGACTGGAAGTGCTTGACAACTTCGCCAATAGCCTTGGCGTTGGCGGAGATCGGGAGCTGACCAACAAACCACTTGGAGTCCTTGTTCTTCTCGAAATGCGCAGCAACGGTGTCGAGCGCAGTCTTGGACTCGGCCTTTTGGCGCTTCTTCTGCTCATCGGTGACGGACTTGACAATCTTGTCGAAGCGCTTCTTGATGTCCTCCTTGGTGAGAGTCGAGATGGTCAATTGGTTGAGAGCATGCTGGGTCGACTTGATCTCCTGCTCCTTCTCGGGGCCAAAGGCAAGTGCCTCAAGTGCATCGAGACGCTTAGAGAACTCGGCAGCCTCGCGTTGCACCTGGTGAGCAGCATCGCCAGTGTAGGCGATGATGCGACGGATACCTTTGGCAATACCGCTTTCCTCAACGATGACAAGGTCCTTGATGAGGCCGGTCTGCTCAACGTGAGTACCTCCGCAGAACTCCACGCTGACCTTGCGCCACTCTGCGTTCTTGGGGTTTGCGAGGAGGGTGTCAACATCAACGCCGACAGACACAACACGAACAGGGTTGGGGTATGTCTCGCCAAAGACGGCACGAACACCCTCAATTCCCTTGGCAAGATCGAGGTCTACCTCCTTTGAGTAAATCTTGCCATTTTGGCGGATGTAGGCGTTAGAGAAGTCCTCAATCTTCTTGAGCTCGGGAATAGTCACACCCGTCTTGTGGGAGAAGTCGAAACGCAGCTTCTCGTTGTCGACCAGAGAGCCCTTCTGGTTGATGTCGTCGCCGAGAACTTCCCGGAGGGAGTGGTTGAGGATGTGGGTGCCAGTGTGGTTGTTGCGGATGGGCGATCTTCTCAGCTCATCGTACTCGCAGATGACTTCGTTGCCAGAGGACAAGTTGCCGTCCTCAAGATAACCACTGTGAACAATGTAGCCACCAAAGTTCTGAACATCGAGAACCTTAAACTCGGCGACACCATCAATGACGATGCGACCAGAATCGGCGACCTGACCACCAGACTCAGCATAGAAGTTGGTCTTGTCCAGCAACAGACCCAAGGGAGTGTTCTCGGCGATACCCTCAGTTGACTTGATGAAACCCTTGCCGTCGTAGATCAGCTGCACCTTGGCCTTTGAGTCGCCCTTGACGAACTTAGCCTCATCGTCCGTTCTCGCGATGTTGAGCTGCTGCTCAAGCTCAGCGATTTGATGGACATTCAGCTTCGCAAAAGTCTGGGCAGCGTTCTTGACGACCTTGCTAGCCTCGCGGGCCTTCTCCTGGGCAACCTTGACCTCCTCGTCGTCGATATCGAGCTTGCGCTCCTCAGCCATCAGCTTTGTGAGATCGACGGGGAATCCGAAGGTGTCGTAAAGTCTCCAAACCTCGGCACCAGTGAGCTTCTTCTCGCCCTTCTTGATGGCAGCGTTGGCGAACTTCTCGAATTGAGCCTCGCCACGGTCAAGTGTACGGGCAAAGGCCGCTTCTTCCTCGTCAAGGATCTCAACGATATCCTGCTGCTTCTTGACAATCTCGGGGAACTGTTCACCCATTTGGTCGACAAGAGCAGGGAGAATCTTGGAGAAGAAGGATCCAATCTCGGCGTTGAAGTACTTGCGCGCGTAGCGAACACCGCGGCGGAGCACTCTGCGGAGGACATATCCGCGGCCGTCATTGTTGGGGACAGCGCCATCGGACATGGAGAAGGTCAAAAGACGGATGTGGTCGGCAATGACACGGTAGGCAGTGTCGATTCCGTCGGCGTCATCGGCTCCATACTTGTCAGTGTAGGGCCTGGCGCCAGTAACTTCCTCAATTCTCTTGAAGAGGGGTGTGAAGATATCGGTGGCGTAGTTGGAAACAGTATCCTGGAGCGCAGAGACGAGACGCTCGAAACCCATGCCAGTATCGACGTGCTTGGCGGGGAGAGACTTAAGTGACTTATCAGCCTGGCGATCGTATTGGATGAAAACGTTGTTCCAGATCTCCACGACCATCGGGTCATCCTCGTTCACCAAGTGAGCGGCGTTGCGACCGCCGCCGACCTTGTCGTAGTGAACCTCACTGCAAGGACCGCAAGGGCCTTGGTCACCCATCTCCCAGAAGTTGTCCTTCATGTTGCCAGGCAAGATGTGGTCGTCGGGGACACCAACGGATTGCCACAAGCTCTTGGCCTCTAGATCGGGCTCGAGACCCATCTCAGGGTTACCCTCAAAGTAGGAGACGTACAGGCGGGCAGGGTCCAGACCATAGACCTTGGTCAAGAGCTCCCATGACATCTCAATGGCCTCCTTCTTGAAGTAATCTCCAAAGGACCAGTTGCCCAGCATCTCGAAGAATGTGTGGTGGTAGCTGTCCTTGCCGACATCGTCGAGATCGTTGTGCTTGCCACCAGCGCGAATGCACTTCTGGGAGTCGGTCGCACGCTTGAGAGGGTACATGGGATCCGACTTTGAGATCGTTCCGAGGAAGATGGGCTTAAATTGGTTCATGCCCGCATTGGTGAAGAGCAAGGTGGGGTCATTGTGAGGGACGACGGAGGAAGACGGCACTGAGATAAAGCAGAGACGGTTAGCCAATTGGCACATTTGAAGCAAAAGTAAAAGCGCAATGTCTAGATGAAGAATAGCAGAGGCAATTTCCTCTATCACGCCGTGTTGCTGGGGGAAAGTGGAAAGTCGGTGACAACATACCGATCGTGTGGCCCCTCTTCTCGAAGAACTCGAGGAAAGTCTTGCGCACAACGGCGCCGGGCCACTTTGGCTCAGCCATGACAGCGGTGGGCAATGTCGAAGTAGAGTGAAAGCGCCTGTAGGGAAAAGTAGCACTCGATGCGATGAGTCCAGACGGTGAGTGGGTATCTGTCGTGGATCCAACCGACGCTCGAGTCCTCTTGGAAAAAGTGATTGTTGATGGTGATGAGGGGAGGGATGATGTTTTATCAGGGTCGGCACAGCTGTGACTCTTTTGGCGGGATGAGCTGCTTGCTAGCGCGGCAGCTGCATTGCTTCGGGGTAGGAGGGGCAGCGGCGTCCGTGCCAGTGGCAGAGGCAGAGGTAGAGATAGCTGGGGCGATAGCGGCGGCGGGCCTGGTTGCGGGTGGTGGTGCAGATGCAGATGCGGGTGCGGGTGCGGCGAGGGGTGGTGGTGGTGGTGGTGGTGGTGGTGGTGGCCCAGGTCCGTTGCTGTTGCTGTTGCTGGAGCTGGAGCTGGTGGTCCGGTGGTGCTCCTGTCGTGGAAACTTCTACAAGAATGAGTCAAAGCCAGTACAAAAGCGCCAGAGCTCCCCGGCAGTCGCAGCCGATGCTCAAGGCTACTTCGTCCGCCACAGCTGAAAGCCAGAGAAGAACGCGCTTGCGCCCGCGCCCCTCGTACGAGCACAGCAGCATTAGCAGTAGCGAAGGTCATCCTTCCTCTCCGCTTCCTTCCAAGTTCCCCCTCACCCCTTAGAATATATATCGACGAATCGGATCTGCCCAGGAGAGAGCAGCAAGCCAGCGAGCGAGCTCTACCGGTACTAAGACCGTCCACGGATCTCCTCCTTTCCTCTTCTTTTCCCCTTCTTTTTGCTGATTCAAGCCGCAACTCTCTCTCTCTCTCTCTCTTCTCTTACCAACCAAACGTAAAAGACAACCAACACTGGCAAAAGTTGTTCTCCGCTTCTCGCCGTCCAAAGACCTTAGCTCACCAAGGACATTCGAGACTTTGGATTGACTTTGGGCCCGCGTTCTTCACTTCGCGACGGGATATTCCCTACCCTTCCGGAAACGGCGATTCGATATCAGCCGCACCGTACCGTACCGTACCTTTCTCTCTCTTTTTTTCTCTCTCAAGGCTCACTTTTGAGAGAATCTCGGACCCGATTGGCAGCACCTCTGTTACGCCCGCTGCTCAGCTGCGCCTGTCGTGTCTCTCGTTGCTGCGATTCTAGTGGCCGCTTCGGGACTTTGAACAATTGGTCATCGCGCTTGTTTCCGAATATTATCGTCGTTGTCGTCGGTCAGCAGCTCTGCGAACCCGGGAGCTGGTAGTGCTAATAGGAGGGGTACACCAGAAGAAGCGGTTGGACAAAAGGCAGAGAGGAAAGAGGGAAAGTTCCAGCAAAAGTCGCCGAAATATGCTACTGCACGGGACCCAATCTCCCTCCCACGCCCTGGAGGCGGATCAGCACCAGCATCAGCACCAGCACCAGCATCCGCAGGCGAGGCAGCTAAGGCGCAAACGAAAAGCTGAGTCCCAAGACAACGAACGTTTATCCAAAAGGCTCAGTCTTCTGAATTTAGGTAAGTCAACTGCCACAACACGAGCTCACGACAATGGAAACTTTCTTTCCGCTTTCATACTAACGCACCATGCAGAGAAGAATGGCCAGAAGCTTTACGTGCCTGTGGAGGAGCCGACTCCGTCTTCAAGCATTCCAATCCCCGCAGACTCGTCGTCAGCACCCACATCTCCTCCCACCACCCGTCGCCGACGTCGTGATCGCAAACCGTCCGTCGATGAAGAAGTGATGCAGCTCGACGACTCCAAGCACAAGGTCTATATTTACAACATTGACGATGAGCTGTCCTCCTCCGAGAGCGAACCCGACGAGGGCAAGCTCGTCTTCCTTCCGGACATTGAGAAGCACCTCCGTCAGACGCGCATTCCTCCCTCCGTTTTCGCCAACGACGAAGGCCAGCTTGCTGGCATGCAGGTGGTCCTCTACAACGAGCCCGCGTCCTTGACGGTACCTCGTGAGCAGGACAGTGTCCGCAAGGCCATCGTCGAGTCGCGCGCCCGCATGCGCGAGAGGCAGCGCCTCGAGCGTGAAGGCAGAGGCGCCCCAGTGCAGATGCCTCCACCCTTCGTCTCTCAGCAACCTGTAGACGCCATCATTCCGGACCCCCCAACCCCAACCGAGATGTCGGCACCTGTAGACTACGATCCCGACGCCATGGATATGGACTAAGGGGACCCCCCAAGGCAAGTAATGATTGTGTGTTTTATGACGATACCCTACGCCGTCACGAATGGGCACGTGTTATTGCGAGACCCCCGGCATCTTTAGCCAGGTCAGCGAGGCGTTTTTCATTGGTATCATTTCGATTCGTGTTGATAGAAGTAACTACTTTGTACAATTGACAATAGTTATTTGTAAAAGCATCCAGCCGCCATCTCTTTAGACATGCAGCCTCGACGTGTGAGATCTTGCAGCTTCTTGTTGGAGAAGTCACTTCCTGGTGAATTCCCATCTTCAGCTGCGTACTCCCGTCTTGATGGTTTCCAGCCTCATCTCGTCTTTGTTTCGTCTCTGGCCAATAATGCAAGTTCATCCCACGCTTCGAAAATATCGCCATTGCAACAACATCAAACCAACATGCCACCTCCCCTCCGCTCCCGCCTTAGACTTCACCCTTCAGCCTCACTGCGCCCTGTACGGGTACGGCTGACCAGTGTGGTTCGCCGCAACAGAGGGCTGCGGCGGCGTGACGCCGTACTCCTGGGACGGGTCGACCTTGCTGCCGCCGTCGGGGGGCGCGTACATTGGGGGCCGGGCCGAGTTGGGGTCGTAGGTCGGGGGCGGCATCCCCTGCATGCCGTAGTAGCCGCCGCCCTGTGCCTGCGGGTGGGTGTTGTAGTACTCGGGGCGGTAGGTGTTGTAGGTGGCGGCGGGCCAGGCGTAGCGGCTGTCGACGCGGGCGAGCTGGGCGCGGCTGAAGAGCCAGCGGTGGTAGCCCAGGGGCAGGAGGCCCTTTCTCAGGCGGCGCTTGCCGTGGGCGTAGCCTATGATGAGGAAGGCTGCGAAGAGGGTCGTCAGGCCGAGGAAGACGGACCACTTTACGATGACGCCCGTCTGTTTCGGTGGGTGTTAGATACGAGAGGCACAGATGGCAAGCAAGAGTTGTGGATGAGAACTTACCCGACTGTACCACCATGGAATCGCCCGTCCATTCTGTATAACCCAGCCGGGAGGTAGGTCGTTCGAGTTGACCACCGTCTGGCGAGCGCTCAGGTATGCGGCGTCCATCTTGTGAAGTTTGTGATTTGCAGGAAGTCGGATTCGCCCCTTCTTACGATTTCCCCCCTTTTTCCCTTCCGGTCAAGTTCCCCTCTCTCGCAATCTTGGTGAATGTCGAAGCTTGACCCAAGCCTTTGATGAACGGTGATGGTGTACGTATTGTTGATGGAAAGGCTGCAGATCAACTACGCCAAAAGAGGACACCCTGCTGCTGAAGATTGGCAGAAACGACCGATGCAAGGATAGCGACAACCAGACAAGAGAGAAAGTGTGGTGTGAGTTGTGTAGGAAACTTGGCTCTTTTGCCAAGACTTTTGAAGTGCAATGGGTAGATGATATATTTGAACACAAGAACCAGAACAAAATAAGAGTCGGAAGGAAACTTGGAATTAAACAATACGGGAAGGGGAGGCCTGCTGCTCCAGCCCCCCCAGTCACTGATACACTGATACAAGAAATGATACCCCCCGGCTTGGATCGTCCGGTCCCCTCTCTCTCTCTGTCTGCCGTCTTTCCTGTTCTGTTCAGTCTGTTGCCATTTGCTCGGACATGGGGGCGTGGGTGTCGGTCGGCGGCCTGCTGGGCTGCTGCTGCATCGTTAACTCTGTTCTCCACGGCGCATGGCTGGTGTGCCAGGGGGAGGGGAAGAGAGCGAGGTTTAGGAGGTTGGAAAGGGTGGAAACTGGGCCAATTGGCTGAGCTGCTGTCGCTTCCAACAGGTGACCCACACGCGCGTCCACGGGTACCTCGAGGTAGTGGACACTGAGGTGAGGTACGGAGCAAGGCAAGCGACGGGTGTTGCTGTTCTCGGGGAGCGCAGCAGCTAGCTGAGTGGAGATGGGGATTGAGGTGCGGCTCGTGCAATTCTGCGGCAGCGCTGAAGCACCAGAGCCGTTTCATCCACCTCGGGTCCCGAACGGCGAACCACTTACGACACGTATGGATTTGTACCTTACCCAATGGTCTGTTGACGATTTGGGAGACCTCGAGGCTCAGAGGTCCCCTTCTGACAAAATCCGCTGTACGGGATATCTCTACTGCGAAGCCCCGGGAAAGGACAACAACAAAACCATAACACACATTGCGAACACAAGGCGAGACACTTCAAAGCGCCCCTCCCCCCCCCCCCCCGAATCCTCAGCCTCTGAGTCGAATCCGCTATCGATACCACCTCGAGTTGAGGTATTCAGGACAGACCCGAGGGCAATCAATGGCGTGGTATAAGCTCTTGCAATAAATGGCCTGGTATAAGCTCTTCACATAGGCTTCACATAAGGGAAAAAGCGGCGAATTTGTATGCTTCAAACCAACTCACTCAGTCATTCACTGCACTCACCACCGTCCGAGACCCCCCGTCCTCGCTCTCGCTCAGCTCACTGTGCTACCTTACCTCAGTATCACCTGGCCATATCAAACAAGCGACAGCGCTGCTGATGGCTTGAGAGTCAAGACTGCTTGTCCCGTACTGCTGTGACTGCTTCTCCCGTATCCCACCGGCCGAACGTGACGAAGCTGAGTTCGTCGGAACCCGTCTCGCGCGTAAACGCCCCGCGGAGAGCACACGACTTCGTTCTCGGTTATAAGCATCATGCAATTGCTTTCGTTTACGAGTTCCATTTCTTTACTCTCACTCCAGTGCCCGCCATGTTCGTAAACCACCAAAAAAAAAAAAAAAAAAAAACTCAGATATCAATCTACCATACTCTCGCAGTCAACCTAGTGCCACTTGTGAGAACCCAAGGCGAGTAACGAAACGAATGGCGTACGTAAGGCAGTCAAAACTTACCATGTAAGCGACCACAAAGCAATATCTGACCGTTACTATCCAAACCTCGATAGAAACTCTACTGCGTCTACTACTACAACAACAAACCCCCTTCCTCCAACAGAAACATCGGATCAATCGGCATGCGTCAGCCACAACTCTCGTCAGCCGATCATGGTTCAGTAAGGCGAGAACGAACCAGGTGGGTGTATGAGCTTGTTCAGTGATGGGTGGATGGGAGGAGGGGGGAGGGCGGATGCCGGCTCACTTACATACATCGTCATCACACACATGGTAAGAGAAGTAAGACGGCAAGGCACACATTGACACAAACCCGACACGGGCCCTCAGTAAGGCTTAGCAGCAAAAAAAAAAAAGGGAACAAGCGTAAAGATGAAGCTTGATTTACGAGGCACACAACACCTAATGCAAACATGAATTCCAGTCGAGGGTACATCCTTGTGGGAACATCATCCCACGTCCAGCTCGTCCGGCAACCACCGCCGAAAAGAAAAGCACAGGCACTCTCTTATTTCTCTGTCCCTTATTATTAGGCATCTTTCGGGGTTCCCACCCAACGTCCAGACCGAATTTACTCATATCGGGAAATATAGGGCTGGCTGTATGACAAAACAGTCTCGCAGCCTGCCCAACCATCCATCGCTCTTCTCCCCGACCGAGAGAGAGCTTGAATACGATTTTCACTCGGCCGGCGGTTCGGATCTCGAGCCGGGAGCCTCACTGACCACCTCTCTCCATCTCAGACAGAGAGATTCCATCAACAATCCTCAAATGGGGATGCAGAGTACCTAAGATTGGTTCATACCAAGAATGGGAATAAGTGAGGAAAGCGAGCAGCATTTTCCTTTGTAGCCATCATCTGCGGAAGAATTGATTACGCCAGCCGACGCCTGTCGCTGTGTTTCCTACT